TTGCAGACAACTCTTGAGCAATGTGTGCATGACGACACGAAAGAAACCTCAATAGAGATTTGTGGGCAAATGGCCCATGGTTTCCTTACTTTGTGACTTCAGTAAGCTCTTTCCTGAGGAGTGTATGGTCTCAGTCACTACTTTCAAGTCCTTTTGAATTTAGTGAATTTCATTATATTAATGACGGCCCTCATTAAGGTCCACAAGGACAAAAAAACACAATATGCTTTAGGGCATCCACTGTGTAGATGTGCAGGTGTGTCCATAGGCTCTGCAGTTAGATCTGTCTTTTGATCGTGACATTTAGTTTAAAAGGCTGTGATGTTGAAAACATTCAATAAGCTTCAGAAAGGGAACTTTTCAATGTCGCCATGGATACATTCATCTTATCATTTTCTTCAACTGTTTGTTGTTGTTTTTTTGGATCACTTGGAGAAAATTAAAAAAAAGCAGCACTCTTGTTCACAAGAATAGATGCTGCATTAAAAAAATGGATATAACAATGTGTTTAATTAAAGAAAATACACATAATGTTCCACTGTATAACCTGTAGAAACAAAAGGACAGTATATCAATAGACACAACCAACAGTCCTCCTGAAAATGGACACCGCGGGAAACATTCAAATATTAATATAATCCGTCAGTTACTGATCAGTGTATGTTTTCTAAGTACAATTTGAAAATCAACGCCCTTTAAATTAATATGGTCGAGTAAAAAGTCAACATTTGCCTCTAGAATTCTAGGGTAACTGAAGGTGTGTGCGTGTGTGCGTGTGCGTGCGTGTGCGTGCGTGTGCGTGCGTGTGTTATGATTACTGTTACTTTATGTTATCATTACCAGTGCTCTAGTCGAAGACTTCAGATACAAAAGACTTGAAACACGACTTTCATCAAAAGTGAGAAAATGATATCAGGTGAAAGCTCTGTCTGTTTTCAATAATCAGATGCTTTTGCTTCAGACTTCTCTAAATCCCACTCTGAGCTTCTTCCAAAACGGTCTTCTTTTGCAAAAATCTGTAAATGCTGCTTCACTTTGTCAGCAAAGCTAATTGTGTTCGCAGCATCACCAATCAGGGGATGAGATCATGTGACATTCAAACAGGTTAAGTCTCATTTATCTTAATCCGGGTTGCCAGCTTGCACTACTTGGGCTCTTAGCTGACTTGACATGACAGCAGTGCACTGTTTTTAATGGATATTTCTGTTTATTTATTCATTTATATATTGCACTGACATTTTGTGCCATACAGTTTCAGTTTATTCAGTCTTTCATTTTGAATACTGCTTTCATCATTTGTGATGTTTCCACTTGCATCCTTAGGGATTTTATTCAGTGATTAATAACCTTTTCATTCTAATTAAAGTGAACTTACTGAACCTTCTTTGCACCTTCTTTGCATCTCATTTCATCCAGCAACAGCCAGTAGCTTCCATGAATCACTGCCGAGCAGTTAAGGAATACACATTTTTCCCTAGCAACCAGTGGTTGCAGACAACTCTTGACCAATGAATCCTCAGAAAAATCTGTGCGAAAATGGCTCTTGGTTCCCTTTGGTTTGCTTTGTAACTTCAGTAACCTCTTCCCTTAGGAGTGTATGGTTTCAAGTCCTTATAAATTCAGTGAATTTCATTATATTAATGACGGCCCTCATTAAGGTCCACGAGGACAAAAAAGGCACAGTATGCTTTGGGCATCCACTGTGTAGATGTGCAGGTGTGTCCATAGGTTTTGCAATTAGATCTGTCTTTTGACCATGATGTTTAGTTTACAAAGGCTATGATGCTGAAAACATTCAGTGCGCTTCAGAAAGGGAATTTCTCAGTGTCGCCATGGATACGTTCATCTTATGGCTTTCCTCTAAAAGACTGTTTTTTTTTTTGGGGGGGGGGGGTTCCGTCTTTGACCTGGAACCGATCAAAAAAATCAACACACATAGCAACAGGTTGACAATAATACTACAAATAATGTCAAAGGAGCATTATCATTCTGCTGTGTTATATTAAAGAAATGCAATGTTCCACTGCATAATCTATAGAAATGAAAAGGAAACCAATCGATAGGCGCAATAAACAGTCCTCCTAATAACATACACAACCGGAAACGTTTGAATTTTGGACTCAAGTGAAAGCTCTCATTTGATGATCAAATCCTTTTAGCAAAAATCTCTTAATGCCACTTCTCTTTGTCAGCAGAGCCTATTGTGTTCACAGCAACACCAATGAGAAGACGAGATCGTGTGACATTCAAACAGGTTTAGTCTCATTTGTCAGTGTGTTGAGATTGTTATCATAATCCTGTTTGCCAGCTTGCACTACTTGGTGTCTTAACTTCCTTATTTATTCGTCTATACAGTGTGCTATCATTTTGTGCCATGCATCTTCAGTGATCTCCTTCAGTGATTAATAACCTTTTCATTGCCATTAAAGTGAACTTGAATGCTAGAAATCAGAAGAGACTCAGCTTTGGTTCATTGTTGTGATGGACTGAGGGTCTCTGAAGGTGATACAGTAGAGAAGGGGAACATGGTTTGGTTTTTTTGGTTTTTCTCAGGGCAACACAAATCAAGACTTACTCGTGGGACAACGCTCAGGTGGTGCTGGTGGCGAATAAGCTGGATTTGGAAGATGACAGGCAGGTGCCGACTGAAGATGGCAAAAGACTGGCCAAAGAGCTCGGTCAGTACGCGCTGGTGTTTATCAGCATGAACACACGTTAACAAAACATTATTTAATAATCACTCATAAGCTCTTTATCTCTCTCTGCTCTCTCGCCAGGCTTCCATTTCTTCGAGGCCAGTGCCAAAGATAACATCAACGTGAAGCAGGTCTTTGATAAGCTGGTGGACGTCATCTGCGAGAAGATGAACGAGAGCGTCAACGGTGATGCCAATTCGGCAACCAATCACAAGGGAGATGGCCTGAAGGACACACCCAACAGCAGTCGGGGTGGCTGTGCATGCTGATTACTGATTGTAAAACCTGATAAAACAGGTTTAATAATGAAATATAGGTGCCCACACTTACACAGATGACCAGAATTTCCCCTAAATCTTTCATTGTGATTGTACTTTACCAAATGTTACTGCAGTGCAATCATGGATGCCTGGCGTTCAGTTTCTTTTTTTTTTTTTTATATATTTCTTTTTGTTCCTGGTTTTCTTGACTCGGTGGTGATTCAAGGATCGTCTTTGTAATCCCAATGTAACTGTTACACTAAGATGCCAAAGAGCTCCACTGAGCAGCCTTTTCTCTTTATCGTTTCCTGTTCACACAGTGCAGTGAACAGCACCTGTTGCAGGTCAGGATGTGAAAGAAAGCCATGTGCCAGACTGAAATTGCATGGGGAATCACCCCGATTGACTTGTGTCATGCTACCCCCTAGTGGGCGTCGCACAAAACTGCATCACTGTGACTTCTGTTGAAATTGCCTGTTGTAAACCAAATGAGCAAGAAGGTACAGTACAAAGTCTAACATATTTGAAAGCTGAGATCACACACGCCTGATAGCCCTGCGTGAGTTCCAGTTAATAAACCACATTTTTTGTTGGATGTTTTATAGGAATATAATCATCTGTTGTGTTTAAGTAATGTATTTGTTTTTTCTTTTTATACATTTAATTATTAATGTTAGTCCAAAGTTAAAATAAAGTTGAAATTAAAAGAAAGGAATATGTATGTTATGTCTGTTGGCCTCATTTGTATGAAAACATTTCATGTATAGTTTTGTAATTTGTTTTTAAATGGATGAGTCCTTGCTTGGAAAGACAGTTTTCTCCAGTGAATTATCAGAAAGGAGATAAAACACTGTGAGTGGCCGGCACACTTTTGTGTTACTGTGTTATAGACATTTAATTGGTGTAGTTTTGCTTAGGTGGTATTAGAACAAATTGCTCATAGGTGTGAATGTGAGCGCGAATGGATGGATGGTATTAGAACAAACACCTCTACCTGACAGAACACCTTTGGGCTGAATCATAGCACAGACTCCGGGCCGGACCTTCTCAGGGTTCACTTCTGGAAGAATGGTCAAAAATTCCCATAGACACACTAACTAACCCTTACGGAATTATATTAAGCCCTATGGATTAAGAATTGGATGTCACTCAAGTTCATATGCAGATGATCAAATACTTTTGGCAATATAGCGTATGTGCTTCAAAGGTAGCTTTTAATGCATGAAGGGTAAATTTTGCGCACTGATATTTTAAAGCTATTATACAAAAGAAATGTCATTTTGAGGGAGCCGGGAAGGAACCAGTGCTGAATCAGATGAAGTACTTCCTAATGATCCACGAAGTTAATAATAAAACATTCCCAAAAGTTTCCATGCAGTGTTGAAATCATTCACTAATCAATAGCACGACAAATCAATAAAGTCATAAATATTATCGTAAAAATGTTCCACGAGTAAACCAGTTATCGTTTATCATGACAGTTTTAATTGTTCAATGACATCACACTGGACTTCCTACTGTGTTTTTATAGTGAACCTTTTACTTTGACCATGACCTGCATTGATTTGATCACCATGGTTTCTTTGATTGGACTGATCACCAAGAAAGATCTTATTGTGTAGAGCACAATTGTGATTGTGTGAGTCGTGTTTGTTATGAAAAACCTGGATTATTAATTGAATTTTAAATTAGTATT